CTGTGTGTATGTAATGGAGACCCTTGGCCAAACGAACTGATTAACTTTTCTATGTTTCAGGAGTGAAGAAAGGCGATCAGCTTCTGTAGATTCACGACAGTCTGTTGGAAGTTATTTGGATGCTGAATGTTCACGACATAGAAGGGATCGGAGTAGGAGCCCACATAAACGAAAAAGAAATAAAGATAAGGATAAAAACTGTGAATCGAGAAGAAGGAAAGAGAGGTGAGTGTCATACTGCATCATCTAACCTGAATTGTTTACTTTCAAAAAGCAGAACGAGTCTTTCTGTTATAGACCATGCTGAAAAAATAGATTATAAGAATAAGGGTAAGGAGAGTAAGTAATTGATGAAAAGTTCTTAATATTTGTCATACTTCAAATAACCACAGCTGTAGTGACGTATGTGTGATTGGATATTGGTTTCCGTTTTTTTATCACTAACTTGCTTCCTAACCAGGATATTTGAAAGTATTATCTAGGTAGGGACTAACTATGTTTATTAATAAAAGGTGTTTGCCTAGATCTCTTTCTTCTGCGCCTTCCTCTTCTTTCTCTTGTTCTTTCTCGTTCTTTTTCCTGATAATTCCTCAGTTAAAGGATATATAGTGTGAGAGAGAAGGTCCAGACCTTGACAATTATTTTCGATAGCCAGAGATATGTAAATTAATACTGAAATAATAAATAGTGTTAGTAAAATTTTGGTAGCCAGAGATATGTGAATTAATACTAAAATAATAAATTTAAATCAATTGAGGTCTATTCCCCTGCTCCAGCTGCTTATGAGGTATCTATGTGGATCTCAAGTTCATCAGGTCTTTAACTTTTCTCGATCTGCTCCTCTTTCCCCTGTGTTGCTCTCCTGGTTAAAGAGGTGACCTTCATGTATTCGCCTAAGTCAGAAATCAAACAGTCATTTTAGATACTTCTTTCTTACTGTTTACCATCTGGTCAGTTCCTAATTGCTATCAATTCCGTCTTAAAATACCTCACACGCACCTCCTCTTCTCTGTCCCTGTTGCTGTCCATCTGGAAAATGATGGTAGTTTTCCTGATTGTTCTACTTGTCTCTAAGCTTATCCCATACGAATCCATTGCTACTATCCTGCCACAGTGACTATTCACCTCCTAGAACTCTTCAGTGGCCAAATTTGTATTCTTTTGAATGGTTCTGAAGACCTCTGGATCAGGGCTCCTGCCTATTTCTCCTTATATTTTGCCACTACCTCATGAAATACATAACTTGTACCCTCGCCAGCCTGTTGCCTTTCCACTTGTGCTCTGCTGCTTAATTTTCTTTTAAAGCCAGCGTGGTAAACTCCTCCTCATCCTCTTAAGACCCAGCCCAGTCATATCCTGAAACCTTTTCTCACTCTTTGAAGCAGAGCTGATCATCTTCTCCATTTTGTCATCTCCCCACCTAGCACATACTTGTTCTTGAACTTACTGTTCTCCCTACTGAACTATGAGCTCCTTCAAGGCAGAGTCTGTGTTTTTTTTATTAGTAGTGTTTTTTTTTTCCCCCCACTCACTCACCCACCCACCGACCCACCCACTCTCCTATTACTAGTTTTATGTGCACAGTCCTTGTCAAATAATAGGCTCTCAAGTGATAGCTTGTCTCCCAGGGCCACTGATAATCAGGAATTGGTACAACTTATTGGATGGGTTTGGTAATTTTGTTCCTCTACTATCAGTCAGTTCATATGTTTAAAGGTAGCTGTGACTTGGTCCTTCTCTTATAAAAATGAAACATGTGCCTAGTGATCTCTTGATTCACATGATATTTTATAATTATACATACCCAAACTAAATCTTGATTATCTATTAGAAATTGTGCTCTTTTACTTCTTTGAAGTTTGTAAGTGCTTCTTCCACTGAAGTAATTTTTGACATTTCTAATCAGCCCCCATTATCTTAAATGCATTAGAAGTCCTCAAAATCTAAACGTGAAATAATTTTCTTTAAAGAGGATAAGCTGGTTATTAGCGAGAAATACTTCTCAATAGGGCAAGGCTAATCTTTAATATTCACCCTTGAGGTAGAATGAATTATAGGGACTTCAGATAAGAGCCTATAAGAGAATAAGGAAATTAGACAATTTCTTAAATCTTTCTATGGCTTTAATATTCTATTTGAAGTGAATTCTCCGGTCATTGGTCATTTACAGTTATTTAGTTAATTTTAAAGTAGAACTTCAAAGCATAATTTTTAAAAAATCATTTTGCTTATCCCTATTTCAGTTTTTTCTTTTAGTTTTAATACATGTTTCATATTTACTCTTAAAAAATCACAGTTCAGTTCCAAATGCATGTTTTCTCTTATTCTGGTTTATGTCTGATGAAAGTAGTATATTACTGTTGAATTATTATTTTATAACTCTGATATTAAAATAGCTATTATTTATAATAGTTTTTTAATACCCTTTTCATTTCAGGGATGGAGACAGACATCATAGTCATAAAAGAAGAAAGCAAAAAATATAAATGGAGTATTTGTGCATGTATTAATTATGCTTATGCCATGATAACCAGTATGCTAATATTTTAATTGGAATTGCTTTGCATAGGAAAATGTGTTTAAATGATGTTTAGTGTTCATTATTTTCAATAAATACTTACACTTCAAACTGTGAGTACACGATA